AATACTTCTAACTTGAGGGGAGAAAAAAAGCAGTTTACTATAAAATTATTTGGCTTTTATTTTCTTATTATTCCTTTCTTATATATCCAACAAGGTCGGCACGATTTTCCTTCTTGGATGGCGACGGCCAACTTGAAAATTCGTTACTTGAGTGTGAAACTCTTCCTTTTCGTACACACCGCCGGTTTTCCGGACAAATCTATGTAAACCTTCTTGCACTACTCCTACACGAGTCGAGTCGATATTACCAATTCGTAATTTTTTTTATTTTAATATTCTTTTTCAAAAAAAAGTAAAAAGCAAAATAACTGTAGAAAATTCTAATAGAAAAGAAAAACGAAAAGAATCCTACTTTCTTTAAAAGATAAATAATTTCAAGAATTTTTTATTTTTATTTTTAAAAAAATCTCCTCTCTTTTAAAAAAAACAAATAAATACAAACTATTTTAAGATGAGAAAAAGGAGTAAAAGGGGGAGGGTGGAATCCACTTACATTTGGAACTTATCCTGCGTCTCTCGCCGTGGTCCCCGGCCCACAAGCGTGCCAGCTCACACGCATCACTCCACACGTGTCAACAACAAGCCCAGTTTCAACTATTCATTATGAAAAACACCAAATTTGCTGAATTTCATTAATCTCTATAAATATATCAATGCATTCACAACCTTCACTTGCATTTTAGAAAGTAAGGTTTCGAGCATGGAGAGAACCATCCAAAACCTGTTTTTCCTCTCTCTCCTCATTCTTATGCTCCAAGTAAGTGTGCAACTACCCTTTGTGAAATTCATATATCATAAAAAATAGAAGCCTCATGCTTAATCACATGTTTATTTTTTTATGAATCGTGCTTGACATTTATTTTTTGATGAATTATATGCTTAATATATGTTATTTGGTGTTTTTCTATGTGATTTGTTGAATTCATGGAGATGATCTGTTTGCTTATTGTTTGGAAACAGGTCGATCAATTCAGTCTTGCTGTTGTGAGGAGGACTGTAAGTTGTAGAATAGCAATCCTGAATATTGCACCATTTTCACCTCTAAATTTTCAGTAAAATATTTTATTCTTCAACTTCACACCATTGAAATTCTTTGTTCATAAGTAAACATTAAGAGAAGATCACCATATGTCAAAAAAAAAACAAAAGAAGAAAAAGAAAAAGAAATTGCCCATGTTCTATTCCCTCTCATTAAAAAAAACTAAGATTTCCCATTTGTGGATCTCTCATCCCTTATTCTTTCATTCTGTGTTCATTAGTAAACAATCCATGACTACCCATTTGTGAATTGTCCATCTCCAATTCTGCTACTACTAATATTACTACTCTCTCTTTCATTCTCAAACAGAAAGAAACAGCATTTGGTCTGAATTTGCTTTTATTTTCTCTTTTGCAGAGCGAGGCAAGCGAACCACTTGCGGCATCAGCACCAGAAGGAATAGGTGAGTGAAGTAGAGACACCACAAAAAGAGATTGGTATATTGTTATATAACTCATAGAATGGGCCTCAAGTTCTCAATTTGAATGACTGATGAATGTATTTCTCATTCATGTGTGTGTTTTTTCGGCATATGTATTTATATACATATGTAGATTGCGAATTTGAATGACTGATGAATGTATTGCTCATTCATGTGTGTGTTTTTGGGCATATGTATTTGTACATATATATAGATTGCGGGTCGGCATGCGAGTACAGGTGCAGCAAGGCGTCGAGGCATAAGATGTGTATTCGGGCTTGCGGTACCTGCTGTGCGAGGTGCCACTGCGTGCCCCCAGGGACCTCAGGCAATGAGGATGTATGCCCCTGCTATGCCAACATGACCACCCATGGAGGAAGGCACAAGTGCCCTTAAATTTTACTGCACACATTACTCACATATTACTACTGTTACTCATGAAATCAATCTAAAATCTTTAGTATTAAGCACCAAGCACCCATGTCTATATATTTGTTTATGAGACTTGGAAAAATATGAATGTAGTGATTGTGGAAAATTTTAAATAAAGACCTGTGATACTAAGGCTGGAAGGCCTGCACCAGTCCTACCATTATTGTAAAGTAGATGCTTTTGGTTGTCTCCCTTTGTTTTTTTTTGGTGTGTTTTTCATTGTAGCTGAGGCCAAAGATCATGCTATGCTGATGAAAATTGGAAAAAGTTTAAATAAGGTTGCAATTTTAAAATGTAGAATTAAAGATGCACTTCAAAAATTCATCGTAAGGTTGTTTGGATGTAGGAAAATTTCTAACTCTTGACATCGAGATCTATTTGATGTGAAAAGAAAAAAGGATTTCGTAGATCTACTCGATTTAAACCATTTTTAAAATTAAAAATTTATAATTAAAGATGAAAATAGACTCTCAAGACATCTAAATTTTTTTTTTGATATACATTATATTTATCATAACATTTGAAGATGCGGCTTAATTGAATTGTTCGAGGTTGCAACCGTATGCAAACGACGGCCATGAAAGTTGGGGGGATAATTGGCATGATACATGTCAGTTTCACAGATTGATACATGCAATGCACTACTCGCATCCGCAATAAAAGCTAAAGAGGCCGTTTTCTATTTTATTGAAAATTACCTACTTTCGACAATGCAATGCAAGTGGCTACCTACTACTAGAGCAAATGGTAGGTTATGAATGGGGAGAGTGAGAGTTCTTTGATTTTGCTACCCGCAAAAACAACCCTTGCTATTCGTAGGACGCTAATTTGGTGGTACAGATTATTCGAAGTAAAAAGTTAGGGAAATTACACATCATTTACCTTTTATACAAAGCAAACGGTCATTATCAAAAAAAAAATTGGGTGGTTGCATAAATTTTTATTTACTTGTTATACAAAGTGATCATAATTAATCTTGATCATGTAAAATTGGGTGGTTGGATTTATTTCATTGATTAAACTCAAAGTTTATTTACCTTTTATATACAGTAGTCATCATGTAAAATTGAGTGGTTGCATTGACCAAATTCAAAGTTCAAATAAAATATATTTGAGCTTTACAATCTATTTAAATTTCACATTGGATGGTTATACGTAATTGTGAGCATACCCAAACTACCCATAAGTTTATACAAAGTTGCAATTTTATATTACGAGACTTGCCATACTTGTATAGAATCCCATTATTGAGAGAAAATCTACGAGTCATAAAACCTCCTTACAGATAAGAAAGTTTATACAAAGTTGCAATTTTATATTACGAGACTTACCATACTTGTATAGCATCCCATTATTGAGAGAAAATCTACGAGTCATAAAACCTCCTTACAGATAAGAAAGCTTTTGAGAGAGATGAACTTCGGGGAAAAAAAAAATCTCAGAGAGAAAATTCTTTAGAAGAAGTAAGAAACCTAAGAGAGCTTAGCCTATTAGAAAATAATATATATAATGTGAAGCACATAAATCTTAGTCTCCACTATTTATTTGCTTATTGGATGTTATTTTTCCCACTCATGTACACACGAGTTTGGTGTTTTTGTCCCATATCTAGTGTGTGCATCACAATTGTTGCTAACGTAGATCGGATTGAGTGATGTAAGAACTTAATTTATAGAGTATACACTATACAATGTGCTCCATGGGACAATAGACTCCTCCAGATTTAGCTGGTTCATACAACTTCCACTCGTGGATGTAGGTTCCGATGCCACAAATATTGGTGCGAATGGCACTTGTCTTAGTCTAATCTTCTGCTTACAAATATATTAATTACACCAGTAAATCATGTTGTATTAGTGAGAAAGCCAACTACTATAATTACACCAGTAAATCATGTTGTATTAGTGAGAAAGCCAAGTACTAGAGAATCCACGACAAGGAGTAAACCATTAGTCCAATCACTTTGGCGTTGGTTGAGCGTTCCTATGGAAGGTGCGCTTATTTCTCGAGTCGATGTCATGCTCAATCTTCACAATTCTTTCCATGTATGAGTAGTAAAAAGCTGTTTTAAACTCAATTTTGATGGTAGCTCTTTGGGTAGTCCCGATAATGCTATGATAGGAAGTGCGGTTAGAGATTAGAATGGGAGGGTGATTTTTTCCTTCGTTGGATCCAATGGTTAAAAAATGGATCAGTACCTCGGATCGGGCATCCCAAAAATCCATCCGGATCGGTGAATCGGCGTTTCTGATCGAGAATCGGTCGAATCAGTTGGTTTCGGCCTTAAAAATTTTCAAAAAAATTATTAAAAATCATTATAAATGTTGTTTTTTAGGAATCCAATAAGAACTGATGGTACTACATTAATAACTTTTATTTTCTTACATCAATATGCGAATATTGAAATGTTCTTTCCCTGTACGAAGATTCTCATCAAAGATTTATTAAAACATAACTAAATACAATATTATACATTGAAATTATAATTATTGGTTTGTATTTTATTATTTTATCATCATTTTACTATAGAAATACAAATAAATTTGAAAATTTTCTTATAATACCATCTAATTTACATTATAATAAAATATAATTATAATATTATAATAAAGTGATTCAACAAACAAGGGTATGACCCTCACAAATAAATAAATCTAATGTATAATAATTAGTGTTGATAGATATATAGAATTTACTAACATAAATTTGTAATTATATTTTAATAAAATTAAAAAAAATAAATTCATATTTACAATGTGGGATAATTGAAAAAGCAACTTAAAATAAATTCTAAAGTGGTATGAGCTAGTGTTATTTTAATATCTTAAAATATCCCATAAACAATTTTTTTTTTAATATTCAATAAACCAGTATTAGTATTATTTTTTGCTTTTTCTAATATCCTATGATCTAGTACTACTTTTTTTAAGAAAAAATCTTATTGACAACTATAAGAACAATAAAAAAATTCACTAAGTACTTAGAAACTCAAATTCTTTTTTTCTTTATTTATTTATTTTTTGTAATATTGATATATTGTAAAGAGGAACACAATATTTTAGATCTTTTTTTATTATTCAAACAGAAAATATTTTAGATAAAAAAATATTCCATAAGTATGCTTGTTCACCTAAGGGATAAAATGTACATTGTGACCCAATAGAGTTATGGTACATGTACTCTTTGTTATGTCCCTACGACCTTACCATTTATGTTCTTGAGTTATTCGCAGTGCTCCTATTTATCATTGCTAAGAAGCAAAGCAAATCCACGTAGAAGATTTAGGACTTGAGCAAGTACATATAAAAGCTATCGAGACAGCATTGGAAGCATGCGCATGAGGTGGGAGTTCTTGTGCTTTTAAATTACACAGTTGTTGTTGAGCTGACGGCTGGGTGAGTCGTTGCTGTTATTAAAAAAATTTGAAAATTGCATTGACACGTAGCGATATTGTAGTCCAAAACCCATTTCATGACGTCATAGCATCCGATCTATAATGTCATGGAACGATCCGTGACATCATCAAGTGAGAAAAATGAGATATATGATGTCATGGAAAGATCCATGACGTTTACAAGAAAAACGGTCAGATCCCGTTTTATTAGTAGATGCGGAATGATATCATCGATACCTGATCCGGATTACCCGATCCAGATCAGATCGACGATTTTTAAAACACTGGTTTCTTGTTAGGGTGATGGTGCAATAAAGAGCAACAAGTTCCATGGGCTATGAAATATATGTGGTGTGAAATAATTAATTTAGCGGGCACAATTACTACTTCTTTCCATTATGTATACCTGCGAAGAGGGGAGTTGCTTTACCTGCTTTGATGATTTATGATGATGTAACTCTTGTAATTTATCCTTTCAGCAATAAATTTGATAACATTTGTCAATATATAT